TTCCCTTCCCTTCCCTTCCCTTCCCTTCCCTTCCCTTCCCTTCCCTTCCCTTATTTTTCCAATTTATCTCTCTTCTCATGGATGAAGAAGTGATGCTGAGCTATTCCTGAGTCCTCTCATCTAGTGGACGTTTCGCCATCTGGAACAGGGCTGCCTAGGTCTTGGAACATAAGTTTTCCGTCTGCAAAAACAGCTGTAGCACTTAATTTGTAAAATACTTCGAGGTATGCAATTTTAAGGAAGTACAAACTGAAGAAATTTTGGGTTAAACTCATAGAGTCCATAAAACTCTCCTGGAAAATATTATGTACTCTGTCAGTGCTGGCAGGGGTAGAGCTGTGCAAAATATGCCAGCAAAATGACAAGTCACTGTGGTAGCCACACTGCAGGTCTTGTTCTGAATTGTGCTTCTCCTCTCGCAGGCTTGTGAGTCCAGATCAATATCCTGATGCCATCAGACCCTGCTTAACTTGAAATGGTTTAACGCTTGGCTTCATATACATTATATTAGTTTTAGATTGACAGTTTTCTGAAAAGCTATATGTAACACACACGGATTTCTATGAAATGCTGAGACTTGAAGCTGGACAAGAACATCATCCAGCATCCAGTGAACAGAGCTTGTAGGTGCTAGGAAGGGAGAACAGGAGTTTGCTGGCAGATGCAGCTGTTAAAATGCCTTGACATAAGACAGCCATTAATGCCTGGGATGTCAGTTACAAACTGGAAATTAAAGGGAGTTTTCCACCATACAGAAGCAATTCAGCCTTAAATTTCCCAGGGCTCAAATCTAATGATACGTCACATTTGAAAATGTCTACATGTGTGGGCTGCACATTGCTATTCAGAAGTCTGTGTCTACACACACTGTATGTAGTTATGTCAAGTATTAAGCAGAAACGATTTTTGTTCTCATTTGCTTGGGATTTTGCGTTTTGGTGTGTCCCTAGGTTTGTTGCTCCGGCGCCTTCTCCTCACCACACGAGCCCACAGAGGGTCCCCGTTGCAGCCGCGCTGGTGCAGAGCGCGACGCCGCAGCCTCCGCTGCCTCCGCAGACGACGGGGATGCACCTCAAGACGTACACGGCGGCAGCACCAGCAGCAAACCCTCCTTTCCAACCAAACAGCCTCCACATCCAAGGTAGGAAAGGAATATCTCCATCACTTATGTTTTGAGTTGTGTCGCTGCTGTTTGGCTTCAAGTCAGGCGTTTTGAAAACTGGTACTCATGTTTTCAGAACGCCTTTCCTGTGACTCTAAGTAGGCTTCATGACCTCATCTTCAGGCTCCCTTAAACTACTCGGCTTAACTACTCCTTACTCATCTAATTAAGGAGTTACAAGTTTCTCTGTGGAGTTATTTTTGGATCTGATGCTAAAATATAATTTCAAATAATTCCATAGTGGCCTTTGATTTCAAATTTCAAATGTTATTTGAAATTTAGAGCTCCCAACTCTAAACATTAACAGGTTTTCCAAAATTGAATATTTTTCTCCCTTGAGTGATGAAGAATCCTTCATTCACTAGGATATGTCTTTGTCTTCTGTTCCCACTTGCACTGTAGAAATAGTTTCTACAAGCTTCCTCTCTCCATTTTTGTTCAATGTAAAGGTCTAAAGCCAAGAAGAAAATCAGCAATGACTGAAGACAGTGTTGGATTGTTTGTTTTGTTTTGTTTTCTAGCTGGTATTGGGATGGAAGAGTAATTACCTTAATGTTTTGTGAACATGATGACAGAATAAATTGTTTCCCCTCTGCTCCTCCCAAATGTGATTTGTCATTCATATGCACCAGGTGCATAGGACATTTATAGCCATTGGTATTGTTCGTCTTTATCACCTCTTCTGAGACTTATCATCAGAGAAATCACAGGAGTTGTTTCTTGAGAAAACCAAGATTTCTGTAAGGTTTATTTCATTTAAATTTATTTATTYTTGCTACCGGAAGCAATCTCTCCAGGCACAGGGATGAGTTTTCCAAGTGAGAGCGAGGYGGGAGAAAGCAAAGACCCAGTCCTGTCCTATCCCTTGGATCATACTACGCAATATATGGATAAGATCTGAGCCAAGTGCTGCTCTTCCAAGAGCTTATAATACTGCTCAGCACTAACTAGTATTAGGAGAACATGAGGTTTATGAAGGGTTTTAGTTACTGTTGGCTTTCTTCATCCTCTGATTAAAGAAGCAGGAATAATCTAGAATAAAGCATATATAGTGTAGAACATAGATTTTTAATACACTGTTACTGTCCCAGAGTGAGTCCAATAAACTCCTAGCCTTCCCATTTCCTCAACATATAGTATTTTACTCAATTCTCTTTTTTTGTTGAGTCAGCATTTGGCAAAATTTGTCTTCCAGAATGGCATTCAGCTGGATGTCCTCCAACTTTTATCCTTTGGTATCCAAAGGATATTGATTATCCTTTGATAATCATGCAGGTCTGTCATCCTCCCTGGAACAAAAGCAGGCTGTGGGTGTAGTCACCTTGCCATGGTTGCTGTTCCACACAGGACTCGCAGGGCTTGGTGCAATAAGCTCTACCCCTGATGTGGAGTCTCCTCTTTACAGTAGTGCTGATATGTTAGTCTCCCCTTACAGCTGTGCACACAGGAGTTGGAAGGACAAAAGACATGGGCCACTAAAGACATGAGAGAAATCTTGAGGGTCCCTACTTCTCGGGGGATGTCACTTGCGTGGACCAGAGCTGTACTCCACATAGGTGCAAGTTAATTCTGTGTGGCCCAAGCACAGACAGACTCAAGGGCTGGCCTCTCAACCCAGGTCGTATGTGCTCCTACATTATGTTACTTTCCTGTGCAAGGAAAGCTTTGTTGAAAATCCAWGTTTGTTTGAGATTGTACAGATCTCTTCACTAAAAACTAGTAGGAAAACAATGTGGACTGAATTCATTAGCCTTTTATTTGCTATGTAAAAATGTACAAAGAAACTGTGTGTTACAATGGCAATAGTTGTGTTTGGGGATTAAGGATTTTTTTAATGTTGTTACCTATTGTCATTTTAAGAGCTCTCTATTCAGAATGTCCTCCCTCCAACTTAAGCAAAGCAGCTTCACTCCTGTGCTCTATACTAAAAGCTTTGCCCAGTATGCTTGCCTACTCTCCCTTCCATGCTTCAAAAACAAATATTTCAAGAGTATTTGATTTTTCCTAGCATTTACACAAAGATTTGCCACTTCTTTGCTCACATCTTTGTAACACAGAAGAAAACTATGGAGCTATTTCACCAGCCTGGACTCTTCTGTCTCTATTAGGTGTCTGTGAGAAGCTCTGTTAGCTTCTGTCTCCTGCAGTTCATAACCTGCCTTTTCATGGCTTAAATGCCTGTAGTTGTAGCCCCTGAACTTTCAGCCCAATCTGCCCCAAACAATAGTGACATTTTTCTATCTCAATATGCAGTCACCTTGTCAACTGTTAAATTGGCTGTAACCAGGAAGAAAGGGTCATCACCAAAAAGCTTGTTGAACAAAAATGTTGTTAGCCATCAACCATACTGAAAGCTTAGAAGCACCTTAGAAGCTCATGGAGCTCGTGAAGCTAAGAGGCTCATGAGCATCTTAGAAGCTCATGGAGATATGAAGACTAGCATCCAGACGGAAGTGAAGTGGGAAATCCAAGTTAGTCTTGTATAACAACTAACTTCTTGTACTACTTTTCCTTTTTATTTCCTTTTCTTTTTTATTTTTATTATTTATCCTTTTTATTTATTTTTATTTCCTTTTCCTTTTTTCCTGTATTATACCACAGACGAAATTTTCCTTTCATTAGAAACATAGCACTAAGGACACTGTTATGTGAAGTGCACGGTTTCAGTAACAGTGTAGAGCTGGCGTGTTTGGAAGTGATGACATTAGACAACTTACAGAGCTGCAATGCCCTTGCAGATTACTGCAGGCAGCAAAACTGATATCCTGAATTGCTTGAGCCCTCAGGATTGGATTACTGAATCACTTGCCAGCCTACCTGGATCCCCAATGTGCTGCATGTTTATAGGTGCAATAAAGGACACTGTAAATCTGCAAGAGAACTTCTACAGCAAAGCACAACTGCAGGGAGCTCTGCAGAGCTGCAGATGTTCCCAGTGCACAGGCAGTTGAAGGAACAAGCTATTGCCCTAAGACAAATCAGAACAAGTGAGATAGGAAAGGCTGTAGTAGAAATTGTTGCTTCGTAGGTCACAGTATTGTCATGGTTATCATGGAAAGTGTGGTAGACCTCTTTGGAGTCTCTCGATAGATTTTCACAGAATCACAGAATRGTTGAGGTTGGAAGGGACCTCCAGAGCTCATCGAGTCCAACCCCTGCTCCAGCAGGGACACYCAGAGCACGGGGSACAGGGCGGCATCCGGGCGGGTTGGGAAGATCTCCAGAGAAGGARCCTCCACAGCCTCCCTGGGCAGCCTGTGCCAGGGCTGTCAAGAAGTTCCTCCTCACATGGAGATGGAGCTGCCTGGGTTTCAACTTGAACCCATTGCCCCTTGTCCTGTCACTGGCCACCACTGAGAAGAGCTTGGCCCCTTCCTCCTACATTTGCCCTTGAAGTACTTATCCATATTGATGAGATCCCCTCTCAATCTTCTCTTCTCCAGGCTGAACAGGCCCAGCTCACTTAGTCTTTCCTCATATGATAGATTCTCCAGTCCCTTAATCATCTTTATTTTGTCTGTTCTATGCTTCTGATACCATTTGAACAATTCTTCACTAAAAATATGAACACTCTTAAAATTATGTGTGCAACTTAGGACATATATGTTCTTGAATTGATGACCAATGCTAGTGGAATAATGGACTAAAATAAACAATTCATGCAAAACAGGCAGTAGGAAAAGTTGCTCTTTTTTTTTTTAATTGTTAGCAGCTATGAATTATTGGAACTAGTGCTATACAGGAGCTATGCTAGTCACAGTTATATTTTCATAGAAACAATCAAATTTAAACAAATGTGTTGTTATAATATCAAATTGCAACTCAGTAGTATAAACGCCCAAAACATTTCTAGCTTTTCACAATAGCAAGTCAATATGGGAGAATAATTTGTGATTCCAGTCTCTGTTTATTCAATTCTGCTGTCATTCTTCACACACAAATGCTACTAAATGATTTTTCTTTTTTTTCTTCTTCTTTTTTTTTTTCTTTTTTTCCTTTTGGGCTAAAGACAGCTATTGTAAAATTCTGCATGATTTTAGTAGTGATAATTACTCATCAGTAGTGTATACTTCTTAATGACAATTTTAATTTTTAATTATTTCTTCAGAAATATTTGTTGTTGTTGTTGTTCTGTTTGTCTTGTTGAGCCAGGCAGGGATCTGACTGAAAAGGAAATAAATGTATTGAAACCAGGCAAAAACTTTCCACCTTCTGGCACTGTTAGCTGTGGCAGTTATTTCTTATTACCAACTGTAATGAAAATTTTATCCTGGTTTATTCAGTAGGATCAGGATTCTGTCACATACTTGTGTGGACTAGAATCTCAGCTGTGAATTTGGGATAGAAGAGAATTGGTTCTTGCAGTAAATTCCTATTATATCTATAAATATTTCACTTTTCTCAGGAAATAATTTTATCATGACAGAAAAATAGCAATTTGTTCTGTGCCTTGACATCATTTATTATGACTACAGTGCTTGGATGCTAAGAAACACAACTTGAGTTACTCCATGTGTGTGCACGTGTTTTAAATGCTTATATTCATTCTTCCTGCCAGAGGACACTACTGACAAACTCTCTATTATAATTCCCGTGTTTGCAGCTGGCATTTGCTTTATAAAGTGACAGGGTAATTAATGGCATTGAGTGCATTTTAATAGAAACGGTTGTTGGTTGTTTAAATGAAAACATTAAGAAACATCTGGCTGAGTGGTAATGAAGCTTATGTGTTTATTAAATGAAATAAAGCAAAACAAGGTCTATCTTAGAATGGACTTTCCACACCATCTTCACTCCCCCATCTCAGTCTTCATGACACATGCGTRGGATGTCACAATTTGGGGCAGTATGATAGGAATTGCCCTGGGTTTTTATCTTACTGCATCCACTTCCTTACGCTGAATGCTCTGCTGGGAATATTAAATCAGCTCCCTCCTCAGCTTCCTTTCCTGTCCCCCAAAAGGATAAAGCTTTGGGTATGTTATTAGTGAGCATTAGAAGTGCATGATTTTTTGTGTGTGTTGTAATGAAGGAGTGTGAATCAAATGTTCATTTTTATGGAGAAGAAATACAGTTATTTTAAATGTTCCTTTGTTGGAACATGTGTGTTTCTCTGTTGGCGCCATCTAATTGGCTTGTTTTAAGAACTTGGCTGAGTGCTTAGGAACAATTTCTTAGCTATTAAGTCCAAATTTCAGGTTAAATACCACAGATCAGATTCTGTTTGTATGTGAAAAGGAGTTAAGTGATTCTAGGTTTACTGCCTGCCAGTGACTCTGCAGTGAATTGCTCAGAGTATAAAAAGATACTATTTTCCTATCTGCAATCCAGCAAATTCTAGCTTCATTACGATGCTCCAACCGAGCCTTTAGTCTAGCTGCGGCTCCTGATACAACACAGAGACATCTGATCATTTAGCAAGAGAGGAGTTGATGCAATACAGAGTTGGAGGGATGAGAAGAAAAGGGTTTTTTGGAATCCTACTAAGACAACCTATTTTTTGTTTATTTGCTTTCCTTTTTTTTTTTTTTCCTGAAGGACTGAAGAAGAACAGGACAGGGGGATAAGACCTCTTTTCTACTCTTTCTTGTTTATGTCCCTCCAATTTGTGAGTTGGATGTTTCTTTGATGTTTGGCACTGAATTATGAAAAGAATACATTAGAATTATTTTCCGTTTCTACATCTTAAAAAATATTTTTGTGTTTATCAGTTGATGAAAATGCCATTTGCTCCTCCTTGTTTTTGTCTACAGAGTAGTGGTTAATGAAAGACTGGGTCAAAGCTGGTAGGGCTTGGTAGGCAAAATTCTTTTACTTGACTGGGGAATGAGCAAACACGTAGGATGTGACTCACAATAGCTTAATCTGAAGGTAAACTGGGGATTTTTTATTATTTTTTTGCTAGAATTCAGCCAGCAAGTAGTCAAAGCTGCTGCCAGAATGTTGTGCTGCAAGAACAGGATGCTGAGAAGAAATGCATACAGAGCAAAGGAGAGAGAGCAGTGTGGAAAGACACTTCAGTATGTGTCTCGAGGGGTCCTGCCAGCTGGCTGTGACCACTTGGTTGTTCCTGTTAACTTGTCTAACTCCCCAGTGAGCTTCCACAGTGTGCTCTGTTGCTGGTTGAGAGAAAAGTTGATTTCTAAAGCATCTCTAAAGGGGGCAGAAGCTATACATCTTATAAATCAAATTTTAAAGAGCTATTGTTCTTTCTATCTGTTTATTTTATTTTACTGCTTGTTTCTTAAATGTCAGGACAGGCTATTCAAGGACTGTTGGTTGTAAATTATTGACATGCTTTGTAAACTGACCAAGTTTTCATAGGGTCTTTGTGGTTGGAAAACCATGTGGTTGGAAACGACCTTCAAGATCCTCGAGTCCAATGGTAAACTCATCTCCACCATGCCTGCTAATCCATGTCCTTAAGAGCCTCCTCATCTACCTGTTTCTTGAGCACTACCAGGGACAGCGACCCCACCACTTCCCTAGGTATTCCAGTTAAACCATTTWAAAAAAGTGTCCTTGAGCTCAGGTCTATTCGTGCCCACAAATCCTGCTGGAGATGGTGAGAGATGTAAGGGTCCAGTCTTTCAGGACTCAACACAGAGGGTGTGAGTTGTGCAGGCTGCTATGGAAGAGGAGGCATGCTTCTGTTTTTTAATAAAGACTTAAATTTTTCTGCCTTTGTATAAATAAATTTCTATATTTTTGTATAAAGGGAAAAATGCTCTTTTTTAATGCAAGTTTTCAAAAACTATGTTTTCAAAAAAAACTGTTCAAATTTTTTTTCCACATAACTGTTTACCTGATCAAAACTGTTGTTAAACATGCAAAAATAGGCTTTTATCTCAGTATAGGCACACCACTGTTTCTAATAAGACCACTAAATAGAATTCGAAGTCTGTTTTTCATTCGTCATTGTTATCTAGAATTCCCCACAAATTCTCTTTTGCTTTCTTAAGTTCAGCCTGTCTTTTCCCGTCTGTAACATTGGCCCGTTCAGATGCATTTAAATATTAATTTTTCTATTTCAATTCCAGCACATCTTATGCGTGCCAACACTTCTAAGTTTCCTCCAGGCACCCAGAGGAAGAGAGCCTCAAAGGAAAAATAATTGGACTCATAAAACTCTTAAACTGTTTGTTCTTCCTCCCACTTGGCAGGAAATCAGTTGTATCACCTAATGTGATACAGCATCTTTTCTACTGCATCTTTTCTATTCTGCTATCCATATTACTTATGAAATGCATTATCTGTAAGAAACGTTACCAACAGTCTCATGTGGACACTTCCCTAGGGAAGTTAATGAAAATACATCAAGATCCTGGCTACAGTCCAGCAAAAATGTGTAAAGTGCTTTATGATTTCAACATGCTTTTAATCTCAGAATATCTCTGTGGAGGGATTTGAAGTTGGAAGATTTATTTGGGGATTAGGATGTGAAAAATGCACTGATACAGATTTTTAAAATATTTTTTATTTGTAAGCTAGAACTGGCTGTTCCATGTGAAGCATTTCTAATCACAAGTAATAAATTGCTAATTGTGCTAATGCGTGTGTCCAGGCATGATGTAATACCCAAGAAATTTAGATGCATCAGTCTTAAATACCAATAGGTCATGATACCATATTTCATGCTTCCCCTTAACAGACTTCCTCTGCTGGTGTTTTTCTAGCTTCTCCTTATGCCATCAGGACAGCTGATTTTTGCTCTCTTGGTTTGTAAGCATTTGTGCTTTCATGGGAGGAGACGAGCTGTTACCCCTGCCACTGCTCTCCTTTTTTAATCACTCCTGGTCTTCAGTAGATCCCAGGCATGATAGCTGAACGTGCCTGTRTTACAAATGTGCATTTCCAATTGCACAATTTGATTATACCTGAACTTGTGGAAAGCTGAAGTGATACTTGTATTAGCTGTCCCTCTAACAGTCAAAAATGGGGCTCCTTATTTCCGCCTTGTGCTGAAAGTCCTTCAAAGAAAATCTGTTAACATTCATTTTTCAACAAAAATTTCAGATTTCAAAAATTTCAAAAAATACCAAATTTCAACACACTTTCATGAAAGTATCAAAGGCATTTTCATTTTTTATCATACCCAAAATAAAATGAACATTTTTGCGAGGGGAAGGAGAGTTGTTTGGGTTCTTGCTGAATGCAGTTTATATACTAAAGATGCTTCTGAATCTTTTTTTTTTTTTTTTTTTTTTTTTTTTTTTTTTTTTTCTCAGTGTTCCGAGAGTCTTGGGAGGGTTTCTGTTTGTTTGTTCTTGTTATTGCTATTGCTATTGCTATTGACCTTAGCTGAAAGGAATTATCCTGGAGGGATTATGTCATCTGAAAGTTGGTTAACTAGACAAGCTAAAAGAGACAACCTTGCACATGAGCATTTTCAGTTCTCTGGAAGAAACTTGAGACTCAAGATATTAATTCCATGGGTTGCTTTTGAGGTAGGGGTCATTTTTTCGACAGTGACTATTGGCATGATTAACCACCACATACTCCACATGAAAAGAAATGATGTCTTAGCCCGGTAGATGTTGTTTGCTCATAAAAACCTTAGACATTATTTAACTCCTGGACCTGTTATTTAATAGTCAAGTCCCACAGCTTCTATGTGAAAATGTGTCATTTTTTCTTCAGTCTCCAGGTAGGGAGGGAGAATGGTGAGAGCAGGTAGCCAGAGAAGTGGCAGGGAGGACCTTGGTTTATGACAACACAGGTTTTCTGGAAGTAAATAAAATACCTACTTAACAAAAACATTATAAGGGTTTAATTTCTAACATGATCTAAGACCTGTGATTAAAGTATTATAGAAACCAGAAATAAATTCATAGGTTAGAATTTTTAGCTGTAAATGCCAGCCTTCCTTTCTTCCCTGAAAAAAAACTACAAAATCCAAACTTAATATCAAGTCATTAGGTGATGATCAAGTCAAAATTCCACAGGCCTTCTCAAACTTGTGCTCAACCTTGTGCTTTTACCAAGTCTTTACTTGGATAATCTGCCTTTATTTTGAATCAAGTGATCCATGCCTCTCACAAATCATGTTGGCAATAGAAAATCCAGAAAGTAGGTTGTGTGAGGAATTAATAACAACTGAAGAAATTCATAGAGAACTTTATATCAAAGCTGATTTAGTGGCTAAAAATCAACTGAAGTTTTGGTGCTGCTACATTCAGGATTTTTGCCTTTCTTTTTACATGGCCGASATCATCCCTTCCATTCCTCTCCATTCCGTGCATCTCTTTCCAAATGTTTTACTGACTGTCTTCTCCTTGTTTTAGGTTTTTATGGACAGCTTCAGACTTTCTGCCCTCCCCATTATGTGGACACTCAGAAGAGTGTGCAGCATAGTGTGTCTTGCAGTATGGTTCCTCCTTTTGAAGACACCTTAGCTCCCACACCAGTGAGCCAGGCAGGGTCTGGTGCCTTCCATCGAACCTTTTCAGCTCATTCTGGTATTACAGGTAAATGACAATTGTGGACAGTCTGTGCGTTTTTAGTATGTCTACCACAGCTGTGAACATGACTAGGACCTGTCAGACTGCTGACTGTTATTTCCATCTGGAAAGGACAGATGTGGTCTTCCACGAAGAGGAGATGGTTTTCAGATTTTCATGGAGCAGCTTAGGGTGACTGGTTGCAGTTGTCACTGTAACATCTTGCCTATAAGCAGATTGTGTGCTGTTGTGGGCTTCTCCAGGCTCCAAATTCCCTGTGGTCACCAGGTCATATATTCACTTTGAACTACTGTCCTTAGAGTCTTGTTAGATATTTGTGCGGGCGCTCCACTCTGCTCCAAATATTGTAGTGGGAACTGGGATGACTCCAACCTTTAGGGAGGTGATTCTGCCCCTCTCCTCAGCTCTGGTGAGGCCGCACCTGGAGTACTGTGTGCAGTTCTGGGCACCCCAGTATAGGAGGGACGTGGAGCTTCTSGAGAGGGTCCAGAGAAGAGCAACCAGGATGATTAAGGGAATGGAACATCTCTCGTATGAAGAGAGGCTGAGTGAGCTGGGCCTGTTTTCTCTGGAGAAGAGAMGGCTCAGAGGGRATATGATTAAYATGTATAAGTTCAGGAAGGGAGAATGCAGGGAGGAAGGGGACAAGCTGTTYTCAYTGGTGGCCARCGATAGGACGAGGGGTAATGGCCACAAGCTGRAGCAYAAGAAGTTCYGTCTCCAGGTGAGGAGCAACTTCTTTACTGTKAGGGTGACAGAGCAGTGGAACAGGCTGCCCAGGGAGGTTGTGGAGTCTCCYAYTCTGGAGGTCTTCAAAACCCGCCTGGATGCCACCCTGYGYCACATGCTGTAGGTGTGCCTGCTTGAGCAGGAAGGTTGGACTAGATGATCTGTAGAGGTCCCTTCCAACCTTRAATAAATATTCTGTGAATCAACTGCTGTTTTGGCTTTCTGCATATTTGATTTTTCTTTGTCTTCAGCTCATTTGCTCAYATTTCTGAGATGAGTGCAACCTCTGTGCATGTTTATCTACACAAACTTGGTTTGTCTTTGTCAATTTGAATGGAGGTAGGCCACTTGCATATAGCTCTGGAAAGTTACTTCTCTGCGGAGGATCAACATAACTGGGAATAATGGAACTAGTCTTAGGGCCTAAGCAGAGATTAAAAATAGATGCATAAGGTTTGTGTAGTGCTTCTGCACAAGGGGAATTCACTTAGAGTGTTTCGTGCTTTGAAATCTATCATACATCAAAGATGGGAAATGGGTCTCTTTTTTTTAACAGGCCGTTATTCCCATGCATATCCCTGTTTTGGGGGTTTTCTTTAAATTGAAGTTAATAATATATGTGTTTTGGCCCTAATTATGGCAAATGAATCCCAGAGTATTTTATTATTTCCTATCAGATACTGATTAGGATCAAATTCCATAGCCAAGCATGAAATTTCTTTCAAAAACCATCACAGCTCTAGCAGTCAGGTAGCTCAGATCTGATGGGCAAAGTGATAGTTGGGATGAAACCTCCCATCGTTCATGTTTGAATCTGATAGTACTGAAACTCCTGACCAAGAAAGTTCAGTAAGTAATAAAAATAACATGTGTATTTGCTTGCTTGTTTGTCTGTTTGGTTTAAAGCAGGTTTGGTTTATGCAGTTCGCTACATAAAATTTCTTTCTTTTTTTTTCCAGTTTATGATTTCCCACCAGGACCCACAGGTATCTTCGGTGATTCAACATACAGCTTGCCTGAGGACAGCAGTTTCCTACAAATAAGTGCAGTGGATCGTTGTCCCAGCCAACTTTCTTCTGTCTACACTGAAGGCTAATTCATTCCAACTCATATTGAACTGGATTCCATATCATCCTGCCCTTTTGACATTTCACTGTCAATTTTTCTCTCCATAAGACTGCCAAGTATGTATGGGGATATGGGTGAATATACATACGTTCTGGAGAGGAAAACATGCAATCAGTGGGCATTCATCATGGAGTAAACTTTGCCAAAATGTTAGTCATCGTTTCTTTCTTCTGAACTGCTATACAGCAAGTCTTCTTGTTTCTTCATTTTTTGTTCCTAAAGGGAATTCAAAGATTGAATAAGAACTGTAATCCTTTCAATTAATTGATGGAATCATTGGGAATCATTGAAGAATACAACTTAAAAAAAAAAAAAAAGAAGGAAATAAAACCAGAGCATGCTATCAGCATTTTGAAGGCCCACAGCTTTTTGCACAACTTGTTTGCTTGTGATTCTTCCAAAGCTAAACACACACCAGCATAAAAAAGGGAAAGCAATTAGACACACATCCTGGCACTACACATTGGAGGTACTGTTGTGGCTTGTTTTTATAGCCAAAGATCACTGGTACTGATTCCTTACTGGCCTTCCCTCTGTATTTTAAGCCATATGCAATGGCCACTACAATTTTTCCAATATTCCTTGCAATGCCTTATGCAGTGTATAAGAACGGTTTAAATGCACTAGATAAGACGGTACTTGGACTTCCTCTATATTTAGCATTGCTGCTAGATAAAAATAAATGTTTTAATTTTCTGTTGGTTTTTAACTTTATTGCTATATCTGAACTTTATTGCTATATCTGAACTTTAGAACTTTAGAGAACTTTATTGCGGTATCTGCTGTAGAACTGTGTAGAAAAGTTTAAAATACTCTGTAGAAATATTAATTTCATTAAAATGCATAGCTTTCTTTTAAAAGCAACAGATACAGATATAACAGAATTTTTGTTGTTCTTAATACTTTTATTTCTGTACCACATTTCTTTTAAGAAGCTTGCTGATGTTACCTATGATAATTTAGAGATATAAAACCAAAACATTTTGGGGATTTATTTACATAGTCTCAGGCTCTGGTCCTCAAGTCTAATCAAGGCTGGAAGCTAATGAGGTTGTCAATACTCCAAACCACAGGAGTATGAGTTAAAAACATTGTTTTGCAGTGGAGATGTTGTCCTGTCCACAATGATCCTATAGCACTTAGAAGCAACTCTTAGATTATTTAAGATTGATTTTTGAGGTTATTTCAGTCCATTATGGGGACTTCTTACTGTGTAGTGTTGAACTTAATACTCACGATCAGGCTGAAGATGAAGGAAAAGATCCAAAGATTTGTGTTTGCAGGCTAGACCATAACTATGCTTTTTTTGCATAGATGAATTTTTGTTCAGATATTTGGAAGCACTGATAATCCTCTGAGGATTGTATTCATGAATTGTGTTCTTATATACAGGCTATATGTGCTTATAAGTGTAATGGAATTATTTTCATCCAATAAATACAAAGCATATGTTAATAAATCACATACATAAATTATGTACAAGATGCAGTAAAAGATCTGGCTTAAATGCAGAAGATTTTGTACAAAATTTTGTACAAAATTTTGTACAAAATTCTTCCCCTTTTACTCTATTTCTCACATGATGAGGGAAGATGGTCCTGAGTTTTACCTCATTTTAGTAGATCTAGTTGCCACCACGTGTGGCTTGCATGAGGTAAGTGACACTCAGCTTTCATGCACTGAATTGCTACATGCACAGCAAAAAGACAGTCCCCTTACATTAGTGTAATATTAGTTTAATATTAGTTTATATTAGTTTAATATCTGGCCCAACACATCAACAATTAGTTTTTAAATGATCCTATAATAATAGGGTATTTTAGGTCTATTCTATGATTACTGCATAGATTTAACTTTGTTCAGCAAGAGTTATTAGGCATGTTCAAAATTTCAATTTCAGACACGTAGGGATGTGTTTTGTTCTTCAGAAGTCAGTAAGAACACAATGGAGCCTGATGTATATATATGTACATGCATATGTATATGTATATGCTATTAGGTAAGTTCTTAGTGCAGCTCAGTGATGATTGCCCAGAATTTTTCAGTTGCTGAGTGTGAGACTGAACTACAGCATTCAGATCTTTACCACCTTGACCTTTGAATCTTCTGAAATATTTCTTCTAAAAGGCGGACATAAAAGATACTAAGAAAGGAGGGGTTTTTAAGTCATGAAATACCCAGACCAAAGGAATAGAGGCCAGAAGACAGAATTCAAAAAGAGTATTCGTAATTTTTATTTTCATCAGTTACATTTGTAAAAAAAAAAAAAGATTTGCAAGTGATTCATTTTATATATGCATTTAAATATATACATATAATCACTTATAAATACATAAAATTACATAAATGTGGGTTTACATACATACATATGAATCACTTGCAAATCTTTATGAGGCTTATCTTAAAAAGATGTTGAGTTGGCACATTAAGTACATGAAAGTGTGCTACCAGTCTGTAAAAATATATGCCTTTATTTACTTCCATGTCAGAAAAAGTCAATTTTTCAGCAGTCATTTCATATTCTCTTTATGGTCAGCCTGACTTGGGGGATGAGCTTACATCACTTCTGGCAATTATATAGAAAAAGAGAAATCACTTGATGCATTTTAAATATTTAAATAAGGAATGGTATTTGTCACATTTACAAGGAAAAATGGTGCTTGTGAAAATACAAACCTTAACACCAGTTGCTGAATTATATGCAAATACATGTGCCTTGGTGATTTTTGTATTTTTCTTCTTATTGGTGGATAATTTTAATTTTCTAAAGGGATTCCTGTCTAAGAGATGAATTTATTTTACACTATGGACAGTAAACAACATTTACAATTTCTCTTTTATACAATTACCTGTTTTTAGACTTGGAGGGTATATTTGTATGTACATTAGAAATGGATCTACACTGGAGTTTTAAATGTAGCTTCAGCTACCGCCTATATACAAGAGAGAATGTGTGTGTGTGTGTATATAATCATATAAGTATGTTTATATATGTGCATATATATGTATATACATGTGCATATTTATACATGTATATATGTATGTGTATACGTACACACACACATATATGGGCACTAGAGTTTACGTGTACTAGTTTTTAAAGTATTGTAGTGCTAAGGCCACATGTGACATTGTCTTGTGTTTTCAACTTTCCTTGAAGAGGTGTGAATGATGATATAAAACTACATTTGAATTGTTTATTCCCAGCTTTTCCTGTGGAATTTCATAGCAAATATTTTTAAAGAGCACTTTTTGTTGTTCATGTGGAATTGTGTTCGTGTTTTTCTTTTGTATGTCTAGGAAAAGAGGAAGTTAAAAAAAGAAGACCACGTTTTAAAGTTAACTGAGTGGATTTTTATTTAATAAAAAAAAATTCCCATTATTCTATACAGAAAGCAGAGCATCGTGTGTAATATTTTTTACATAAAGCACTTTGGTGAGGAAAGGAAGTTGAAGTATGTTTTCCATAAACTTTACACAGTTTTGTATATGTTTATATATGCTCACGTATATAGATTTGAACTCTATTTACAGTACTGTATATCCAGCTCATATTTGCTCTAGAGGCACATCTGCTGCATACCATGAAACTTAAATTTTCAGAAGAATTACTTAACACTTTTTCTGCATTAATATGTATAGTTTTGTGATTTGTTACTGCTATGTTTCATATAATCATAAGTTATTTTTGTCTTATTTCATAATTTCATAAAGTCTTTTTTTATRTAAAAGGTAAAATGAAGGGTGTGTGTGCATGGTACAAAATAAAACTGGAAATTTATAATTCAGTGACATGACTAATTGAGTCTCTTATTGTGAGTTAAATGCCCCAGCCATTGTTCTTTACCATAAAAATACTAGTATTTGTATGAGTTAGTATAATTCAAAACAGAAATAGGAAAAAATTCTCAGAGATTTCTTCTCTAAAAAAAAAAAGCCATCTTAGTTAGAGTGTTAAGATGGGTTTTAATTAAAGATGTAGTGAGACTAGATGGTTGTAAAGACAAATGAATGTCTCAGTGTTTGTTTAGACACTGGGTGGAGGCAYAAATAAAAGTAGAACTTTTAATTAACTTTTTTTATTGTTTTGTATTTTTTTTTTCTGGTTTGTTTACTTATGTGGTTCTCCAGTCAAACATGTAAAGGGATTTTGGTATCTCTGGTTAAATTATTTTTTCTGTCCTGCTCTAACAATTAAGAAATTACTTCAGAACATCTCTAATATGAAGAAAAGAGTGTCCATTTTCACTATGCAAGAGGGAAAATGTCCTGCAAAAGCATGAGACCAAGGCCCATTCTATTTCAAATACGTCCTAAGAGTCCAGGAAGTTTGTGAGGAAAACACCTAAAACATAATGCACAGGCCAGAAAGTGCCGAAGCTGATTTTTGCAGGAGTGCCAAAGCTACAATTTGCTTCTGAATTCGTATCTCTGCCCTGGCGAAAAATAATGTGAACAGGCTCCATTTTCTATATTCCTAGCTTATTCAGTAAGGAGGAAAAAAAAAAGTCACAGAATATTCTGAATATAAATTTATTAATGTATACATATTTACTGAACCTAATTAAATGTTATGTTGTGTTTTAAGTGAGTGTCTACCCCGAGAGGGCAGCTGTTTGTCACCCCAGGTCGTGATCCTTGGGAAAATCCTGTGATACTTTGTTTGCTTAGATTGCTAAAGATCTTGTTGCTTCCTACCTACGATCACATTTTTTACTTTTTACACAAACCAGAGTTTAAACTCTTGCCTATAAGTAAATGAATGAATGGTAAGAAAGCTTCCGGAAGAAGCTGTTTGGAAAAGCTTGTGATAGGCAGTCTTGAAAAGGACAATTTATACGTGACTGTTTGTACCTGCTCACTGCAGTTCATGACTTAAATGAGAACAGTGATAAAATTCATCTGCAGAATCATAGAATCA